TGTCCAGATCCTGTCCCGCAGTTCCATCAGGGTGGTGTACACACTTGCAAGAGATTGTTCTCATTTGTTAACCTACCTGGGGGTGATTTACCCCGTTTGGTGGTTGCCAGTTGCTTTGACCTTGGGGACAACTTTTTCAATTCCCTTTTCTGTTGGGAGGGGAGAAAGGAAACTATGTGTGGAATGTGAAGATGATTTAGTTACAAGATATACTTTTATGGAAATCACATTAGATACATAAAAAGGTTGGTGATCTGGGCACCTTGGTCCTCTACAAATGTGACTAGGAAAAGAAAATGAAACATATTAATTGGGAAAACTTGTGTCCTTTCATATAAACTTAAAAATTATAAATGTACCTTTTTGGTGATATAGATTTTCTTCGCTTCTGCCATGGCTTTGAATCAACTTCATTTGAAACAGTCTCAGTACATGTTGATCTGAAAATTAAGGGAAGGAGTTGAGACAGTGTGGCATGATCGACAGAAGTCTTTAAACTGATAATCATTCTACAATTTATTTTGAAATGCTGTGTGTCTGTCAGGTTCGAATAAAATTCTTACCCCTGAGAAGAACTTGGTTGTTCAAAGAATGTTTCGTCGGGATCAATTGGTGCTGTTGAAACTTTAGCAGCAGATTCGTAATTATCAGAAACATCATTCTTGACCACTGAAAACAGCGTAATAACGCATGTTATCCACTAGATGATAACGCGGTGCACATTTCAGTTTTTGAGGAATATTTTCTACACGAGCTCTGAGTTTTAGTTTTCGAAAGCACCATCGGATTTCCCACGAAATTTCCGACCAACAAGCCTACATGTGATAGGGTTCTGAACAAAGGTTCTCGAAGAACACGTCTTATTCCGTATTTTTGTTTGAGCTCCGAACCCTATCACATGTAGGCTTGTTTGATCGGAAATTACGTGGGAATTCCGATGGTGATTTCGAAAATTAAATCTCAGAGCTCGTTTAGAAAATATTCCACAAAAACTGAAATGTGCACCGCGTTATCATCTAGTGGTAACATGCGTTATTACGCCGTTTTCAGTGACACTAATGAAAGTGCAAAAGGTGCATCACGTTAAATCTTAAAAATAGAATTTCCTTTATATCTTTACATCAAAAAATTACCTTTCTTGCTTATTTAGCTGTCTGTTAGCTCCAATCAGTTATCGTCACACTGTAAACTTCCTCGCACTCCGAGTCAATACTTTGGAAAGAGAGGGCTCGTTTTACATTTGGGGTCGAAGACATCAATGATGGAAAGGAAAGGAGAGGAGTTAGCTTTCTGTGTCCTGGTCAGCACAGGCCCACAAAGTGGTTTGAGGACATAGCAAACTTACGTGGACAAACACTAGTACTGTGCTGCTCAACGAAGCTTATACTTTGCAGCTCATCACAGCTTTCCATCATAATCCGGCAACTACAGAAATGTGGGAAGTAGATATTTTAAAAAGGAACCTTAGTTGATAAAATTATTTACCAGTAGGGCAGCTATTTTCGAACTCAACAAATGTCAGACCCCCACCCCCGAGGAAAAATTTTTTCACCACCCTCAGTTATAGGTCTTATTTTTGTGAAAC